GTATGTGGTGCTGAGGATCGAACCCGGGCCGCACGCATGCCAGGCGAGCGTGCTATCGCTTGAGCCACATCCCCAGCCCAATCACATTTATTTTAATCCATGAATTAAAAATAGTTCTTTAAAAACATCTAAAGACTATCCATTGGTCAGTTTTGAAAGATGTTAGGGATAAACACTGTTTGCAAACTGAAATAAAAAGGGTAGTAGACATTTATCCTAAATTTTCTATATGATTATAAGTCAAGGTAATTGATTATTGATAGAAAATTTTCTTTACAGTAGTATTTCAGTTAATAAATTAAAATGAATAATTGAAATAGAATATCACTATTTTGTAATAAATGCTATAACAAACACATAAAAGTGAGAACCATATATTCCCTCAATATACAGAATGTAACCTATAAGCAAATATTGTCAAAAAAATTTTAGACCTAAATCTGATTAAACCTTAAAATTTCACCATGATATTCTGGGAAAAAGAAGAGACAAAGGACATTGTACATGTTACCATGAGCATGCATTCAGCAAAATATGAACTGTGTTTCTTTAGTAAATAAATTTTAAGAAAAAAAGAGGTGAAAAATGAAACTAAAAATTTAAAAAGATTTCAGAACTATTACTGACCCATTGAAAAGAATGGTGCTTATTTGAATAATGATTCAAAGAAAGAAATTATAAAGACATTAAAAATAAAATTATATAAACTTGAACACTCACTACATTTCTGGGTCTGTTAAAAATTTTATATTATCATTATCATTAATATATGATAATAGTATTAGGTTTTTCTTTAATGAGTGTTTACCTTTTTGAAATTCATATTCAAATATGTGTGTGTGTGTGTGTGTGTGTGTGTGTATACATATGAAGTGAAATGATGATTGATGATTGGCTTCCAAACATCTGGAGGTATAAGTAGGTACAAATTTAAATAAAATATAACCGGTCATGAATTGGTAATTTTTGAAGCTGTTGAATATTTGGGGGTTCGTTTTGTTGTTTACTTTTTTATTTTGAAAATTTTTATAGTAAACGTTAAATATCAAGTTATTTCTTCCTTACATTTTCACAAATCAGGTTCTCATTTTCTTTTCTAAAAATTGTCACAGTGTTGGTCTCATCAACCTGAATTCTAAATCACTAAGATTCACCCAAGACATGTTCATTATATTCATTCTTTTGAAATCTTAAAATAACTTTCCATGAGTAGCCACTCTCCTCACAAGTTGTAAATGGTTCTTCACTTTCTCAAAATAAACCATCATAATTTTATTCAAAATAAATCACCCTTAATTTGACATCAGGGATTCCATACAATCTGTGACCACGCAGTTGTCTGTGAATTTTGCACCCTGGTCAAAGCAGTCACATTTGTACACTTTTCTCCTTATCCTTAGAACAGGCCATGGAACTCCATCTCTTGCTCTCCTAATGTCCCTGTCTGAGCAGGTGTAGTTATCTTTGTCTTAAAATGTTCTTTCTTCAATAATTTTTCAAGTATAACCTCTTCCATGAAGCTTTCCTAAACACATTTTTCAGTCTATGGACAACTGTCTCTTCAGTTTACAGAAGCAATGACTTTCTCACACTCATTTTATCACATGCTACTTTATATGACCAGTGCCATTTTAAATTTTGTATTTAATAATTATACATTTTTGTCATATATTATACCTCTTTGTCTGGGACTATGCCAGATTTCTATGTATCTAAACACTACTGCAGTGTTTATATATATATTAAGTATTCAATAAATGTTTGTTGACGTTGCTCTTGACATTACAATTGGTGGTAGTGATGGCAGTGGTAAGAATAAAGGAATTTCATTTGACAATAGTTGTCAGTGTTCCAAAATTTCTTTATTAAGGTGATCTTGACTCTTAGACAACTGTGAAAATTCAACATTCCTTTGGTCCTTAGAGTTCTAATCTGTATATCCCTATAACTTGGTCCTTATAGTCAAGATGATTTAAAACATACCTAACCAGACAAAAAGAAAAACAAACAAAATCTTATTTTCAAAACTTTTAATTGGTTTTATATTACTTAGAGAAAGAATTACAAATATCCTGGCATAGCATTAAAGGCTTATAATCTGTTCCAAAATCTGGAATCAAATTTTATTCTCATTATTTCCCTATATACACATTCTAGTACAATTAAAGGAGTCAGATTTTAAATATCTTTGGAATCATTCCTCTATCTCCATTAAACTTCCTTACTTTAAGTTTTCACAATCTCTTGGATGTTTTCAATCCTTTTTCTAGTAGACCACATGCCTCCAACCACATTCCCTTCCAGTTCATTCTTCATCTTTAAGTGAAGCCCAAGAAGGATTTATCTTGTTTAAAACTCCTCTATGACTCTCTTAGAGATTAAAACTAAATTCCTTGATGTGATTTACTGAACCCTATTTGATCTTCACTTTCATTATTTTAATACCTGCAATATGAGTATCTCTATATATGACTAACTATAGAATGGCAAAGCTATTCAGCCTGTTCCAACAAACTTATTGTCAAATGTGGGTAAAGCCAACAGACATAAATATGTAATAAAGAACAAGAGCTATGACAGAAAGAAACAGATGCCATGAGATGGAAATTTGGGGAAACATATTTTAGACTGAACATGAAAGGAAGAATTTTTGCTGAAGTAACATATATACTGCTTCCTTTATGTGGGGGAAAATTCTCCAAGGTGAAGTCTGAGAAGGTACTGAAATTAGAAATAACAATAAAATTAGACTAGATAACATCCCTATGTGTTCATACCTATTCATTCAATGTTACTTTTGGAAAAAAATAAGAGTAAGAATTTTTATATGTAAATTAAAACAACATTTTGCATTACACAATGTATTTTTCTTGTCTGCCATGTGTCTTTTATCTTTATATATATTCTTTCCATTAAAACTTTTAAGTTTTCAACAGTATTCCACTATATAGTGTATAGCTGAATAGCGTTTTCCATTCTATATAGTGATCCCCTCTCACAGAACAGGTATTGAAATAATAAAAGTGGAGATCATAAGGGGTCCAGTGTATCATATCATGACCTTTAGCCTTTATATCTAAGGTAGTCACAGATTATTTTAAACAAGATAAATCTTTTTTTTTTTTTTTTGGCTTCAGTGAAAGAAGAAGCATGAACTAGAAGGGAATGTGGTGGGAGGCATGTGGTCTACCAGAAAGAGCTTGAAACAATCCAAGAGTTTATGAAGATCTAAAGTAAGGAAGTGTAATGGAGATACAGAAGTACAAGTAACTACCACTTTCTGCTTCCTGCTTTCCCCTACCACAAAATAATTATAAATGTTTAAATATATTTCCTTTATCCTTTTCATAGTTCTCTTGTTTTACATTTAAATTTTTATCCATTTGTTTTAATTTTTCACCATAAGGCATGAGAGGGGAACAAACTATTGTTTCCTATGTGGCTAACCATTTGTTATAATAACAAAAATTGGCATTTATTGTGGTTGGCTATGAGTATCTAGCTCATAATGAATGTTTTGTACTTATTATTTCTCTTAACTTTGAGGTACCAACCATGTAGTTACCATTATATGCCCTCAACTTGTCATTGAAGGATCTGAAGAGAATTTCGTGATTTGCTTGAGGAGGTAGTACAACTATTAAACATAAAAGCTTTGATTAGAACCCTGAGCTCAAGAGTTCATTCTGTTCAAAATTGCCTTGTACTGATTTCCAGAATCCTCTTCTCACTTATCAATTTAAAATGTTTTATTTATCATATGATAAACTATATTGCATATATTGAAATATACTGCTATTGAGTTATTTCTGGATGTATGAGTTATATGCATGTGCTCATATGTGCAAGAATTTAGATATCATTGAAGGACAGATGATTGGTTGCTTTTGTTCCATATTTCTATGCTTCTACTAATTGATTTAGTCATCTGACCAATTAAATATTAAAAATATTTAATACCAGAATGTGTTTTCTAACTTATAGTTTTAAAATTGTCTCTCCTTTTTCTTTTCAATTTTATCCTCAGGTTTTCAGGAAATGATAATCCTTTGCTCAACATAACTGTGGAATTTGACACAACAATATTAAACTCCCTAAAAAGTGATTATATGTTTTTGACAACTTTTGTACTAAAATTATTCCATGTAATATAAGAAAGGATCAGTTTTTAATTGTTATCTGTTATCTTGATGTATTATATAGTTATATAATGCCAAATATATTGAAAAATTATAAAAACATTCTCCTAGTCTCACAATCCAAGCTATAAAAAGGTAAATATTATTTGCTCTCAGATTGGGTTACACATAAGTTTTATATTTTAGAAAAACACATTGTAGGCCATGCACTATGATCTCTTGAGATAGTCTTTAAAAAAAAAGAATATCACCTTCTTTTTCTTCTTTGAAAAAAAAATGATTGTTTTCTTCTTTTAAAAAAAATGATTTTAATTGGCTTTATTTCCAATTCTCAAATTGGGCAACACTTCATTCCATAAAATAGTATAAATGTTCCTTACCTTTCTTTAGCAGAGCTGAATTACTCAGAATTGCTACCTGCTCTTTTATAAACTCCTTCAAAAGAACTCTCTCCTTAACATTCTTATATTAGATGAAGTGATCAGTTTGTTATTGAGACACATTCCCTGCTGTGTACATTGCAAATTAAGACAGAATTAGGCACTTAAGAAAAGTGCATTAACTTTTTTAGGCCACTAGGGTACCATTTAAAGCCCTTGTGTAAAATTGTCTTTAAATCAGGTCATCATGATGTCATTTAATCATTATAGAGCACTGAAATAGATATTTATGAGATGGCTCCCTAGTAGCCTGAAAGGTGTCCAAAATCTATGACCCATTCCGAAATCAAATGGGCTAAACTACTTTCAGAATGCCATTGATTTCTCAGTTCTATCTGTAATTCTCAGAAAGAATGTGCAACATTTGACAAAGGAAGAGATAGCAGCTGAAATTCCACTACCAAGCTCAATCAAAATTATTTGCTGAGAAATTATTCTTGTTCTCTTTTCATTGCATCGCTGTTTTTATTGCACAACTATAGAATAATTCAGGGCCTATTAGCTGGTTGTCTCTTCCTACCAAATGATACCCATCTAAGAAAAATTGTAGCTGATTATAGAAACACAGAGTTGGAAGGTTTCTTTAGAAACCATCTGGTAAGAATAGAGTTTGCCAGGTACAGCCCTTCTTAAGCTATCTCAGACTGGTATCTTGCTTTTAAAGTTCTCCAAAATGTTTTGCTAATATGGAAAACATTGTATACTGAGGTAGAACTCCCTTTGGTGTATCTTTTTTATCATGATAGTATTGGGCAATAATATCTCCTACAAAATAAAAAGTTTTTCTATAGAACTAGGTAAAAATCTTTTACTGAACCTTTTAAGATCTATGAAATTGTCAGAATATTATATTTTTATAGCCCTTAGCACAACCTACAGGAGATGTGTGGGAAACTGTTTATATTGTCACTTTCTATGACACTCTAATGAGGAGAATATTCTAGAAACTGAAAAAGTACATGAGAGAAAATGTTTTCCATATTGGAACAAAATTATTCCTTAAAAAAAATCCCCCAAATTACCATTTACATTTCTATTATCTGCCTATTTTTAACTGAATCAAATTCCCAGCTATGCATTCATTTATCAGTTCTGTACAGAACTTTTATATAATGCAAAGAATGAGATTATACCTTGTGATGTCATGTTGCTGTATTTAATGGATACTTCAAACTGTAGTCATTCTCACATTACGGTTCAAAATTTCCATAAATCCAAAATCAGATAATGGAACTGGAAGAAAAACAATATTTTAGAGGAGGGGAAGCAAAGGTAGTTCAGTTTCATAAGAAAAACAAATTTCAGGTTTAATTTGCTTCGTGTTCATAATTTTGTAGAACATTTTATTAGACTTCTATATATAAAAACACAGTACTTACTGTTACATTTTCCATCTTCTTCTGCATGTAGGATAGTGTCCTTTAGGCTTAAAACTCCATTCAAAATGCCATGCTAACTATAAAAACGGGTTTGTTTGCACTTATATACTTAGCTCCTTATTCAGGCCATTGTGTGTTTTACACATCTCATAATCGAGATCTATATTCTGTGTGCTTGCAGCAGTCTTATGTGGGTTTGTCTCCGAGCCAGATTTATCTTCGTATTTCCCATTATAGACTGAAAGGACTGTATTAAGGAAGCCTTTCTTTTCAGTTCCTGCTTGTGATTGCTAACATATCAAATTTATTCCTTCATAATCCAGATCATTTTCCAGCAGCTTTGAGGCCTGCTTGTAGTAGTTTGTTAGAGAGCTCATAGTAACCCTACACTGACAGACCAAAAAGCCCTTCGACTGTCACTTTATGTCATTAACAATTTTCTAAAGCCATTACAGATGGGATGGACTGATTAGAACTGAGGAGGGAGGATCTTTTTCCCAGCCAGAAATATCCCCTGAGACTTTCACGCCGTGTGAAGTTTCTAGTGATTAATGGGAGAAAAATAAGGCCGCCTGTCCCACAGTTGCCATAGACTTTATTTGAAAAAGAGCTTATTTATATTTGGAGATCTCTCTGGATAACTAAACATTAACTGGAGCACAAAATACAGATAGAGTAATAGGTTTCAAATAATAGTATGCACATCAGTTTTAGGTCCTGACGTTGGGTTTTTCTCTCCTTGTTTTAGTATAGTTATTATAATTTAATGTCAGTGCTGTTCCAAGACGAAAGTGTTTATCTTCCCCTGGCCTTTTTCCCTCCACTTCTGCTGTTTTATTTCTGTAAATGAAAGCTACAGCTGGAATATTGTTTTACTGCAAATCTCACACCAGCACTGTCAGTTGTGATATGACACCAGAGATTCTTATCTGTAGGTTGGGTTGGAATTATTAAACATTCTCACATTGTGCAAAGTGTTGGGGATGAACAGCAGTGCAGTGAGGTGCATCCAACACTTCTGTCTTTCCCACCTGATCCTTGAAATATGACTCCTTTAAAGGGCTAATGTTCACTTTCTATAGCTTTATATAGAGAAGTGACAGTACTCAAGAAGTAACATGAACTGAAAATTATAGTAACTTCCATCTCTCCGTCTTAATGCATGCTTTCAAAAGCGATCTTAATGGTAGACCTCATTTGAAAAGAAAACAATTGACTATTTGTGATTAAGAACAATGAGATTTTTATGAAGAAAAATTGCTTGCAGCCTAAATATTAGAAAATATTTACATTTTTTCACTTTTTTAAATAAACTTTTTTATGACTATGATACCAAAGCAAAACATTTTATCAAACTAAAGAAAGAAATGAGGCTTATGTTTTTCTTGACCTTATTTATTATCAAACCTATAAAAATATTAACTCAGATTATTAGAGGTACATATCATAACTATATATTATTTTCCATCTTGCTAATGCTTAAGAAGATATGGAATTTTTATCTTTAAATGCAGTCCATAAATGTTAATCACCATGACACTTTCAGAAAACTAAAAAGAAATATTACCTTCATCCTAAAGATAAGGAGACCAAAGAAGCAAGATTGATTTGTCCAGAAATTCTCACTTAGCTTTGTCATTTTACATTCCTGAATTTCAACTTTGAGAACATTAAGTCAGTTTCTCAGAGCAATAATGTCAAATACATACTAAGGCACCAAAGTCTCTCAGATGCTGTGATTCAAAGTCGTATTTGCAATCTGTAGAGAGAAATTTCCAAAAATTGTATAGGACAAATCAGAGGATGATATTTATGCCACAAATTTTCCTAGAAAGTACAAAATTACTTCCTGTGTTTTTGATTGGAATAGGAATGTATAGCTAAAAGGCCATATTAGTTATACTTAGTTACAAGTCATGGAAAGCAACCAAATTAGCTTGCTTGTAAGTGTTCAAAATAAAGTTGCAGATTAAATAGTTACATTAGAATATCGGCTAAATAATGAAGTTTTTAAAGACTTTCTTAGTTGTAGGTGGACACAATACCTTTATTTTATTTTTATGTGGTGCTGAGGATCAAACCCAGTGCCTTCCACATATGAGGTGAGCACTCTACCACTGAGCTACAACCCCAGTCCATGAATAAGTTTTTTATATAAATAGGTCCTAAAAATTTCATTCTGCATTGTTATTTGCTGAATTTGGGAACCCTAATCAAAACACAATTTAAATAAGTTTAGGCATATATGGGAATGAATCAGAAAATCTAAATTTAAACAACTAAAAGGCAAAAATTTCAAAGATGCAGTTAGTCTCAGGATCAGCTAGAAGCAATAACATGAACACCTTAGCATTTTCTTTTCATTCACACGTTGGCTTCATTATTTTTTTACTACAAACTTAAATTTGTGAGAAAACTTCTGTTGTTTATGTAAGTTTTACATTTGAAAATTTTGCCACTGGAGAGAAGAATGTTCTAATGTAATCCCTGACCCCAGGGAAAAAAAAATACCCAAGCAGGGCTATAATTGGTCTAGACCTGGCCAGGTGCCAACCTCTGGAGTTGTCACCAATAGCCATTGCATTGGGGTTTGTGTAAAAATATAGCACCTTCTACAAAAGTTATAGGAGGAAAGTAAAATCAAGGAGCAGGCAAAAACAATTTCGAAGGATAGAACAAGTTGTTCTCAGATGAAAGGGGTTTCTTGGCAGGAGAAGAGTAGACAACAAGCACACATATATATATTCCAAATCAAAACAGTTCAAGCAAAACAGGGTGTTTTTTAATTGAAAGAATGCAGTGCTGTATTAAAGACTGACTACCAGGGGAATAGCATTCAGGCATCATAGAAGACCTGGACCACTCTTTGTAACTCTGGTTGGTTGGTTGGTCCTTTCTATTTTTAATTCTTGTGTGTGTGTGTGTGTGTGTGTGTGTGTGTGTGTGTGTGTGTGTCTGAAAACTTCTCCTCTGATTCTGTCTGGTCCAGGTTTCATTGGTATATTACAGTACATACTGCATAGCTGTCCAAAGCCAGGGGCCAGAAGCAGCATGACTGAGAGCTGGGGGCATATTTGAAAAACTTCAGTGAGTGCGGAACAATTTTCTGAGAAAAGATGTCTATTACATTCTGTTTTTTTAAAACAAAAATAGAGTTACTACTTGTTTTATTTACTTCCAGGCCCCAAGAGGAAAGTATATATTTTCATCTCCTATTACTTCCTTTCCTAAATTAACTGTACCCTTGGGATAATCAGTCTTAGGCGAAACATGTAACTTAGTCATATTGATCCACAGTTCTATAGTCATCCATTGATCATTGAAGAATACAGTCTGAGTGGTCACAATCTATGAATTCCATTAAGCAAGGATTCCATACACATACCGAGAAAATAATAATTGTTAAGATAATTTTCTAAAGATTCACCTTATATAGAATATTCTGAGATGCTTTTGTCACGCACACTTATAGAAAATGATGAATTTATAGCATAAGCAGTTTGTCCCTTTGACTTAATGCTGACAGTTTGATTTGAAATTTGAAAATGATGGCATTTACAATGAAATGCAAAGCTTCAAAGCTCCACATTTTCTTGGCATAACCACTGTAACAGCATTAGTTCTTGTCTTTTAAAAAATTTATTATTATTGAATACTAGAAAGTTGCTAAATCAGGTGAATTTCCAATAAGCTATTTAGTAGACCCAAACAATTAGAAAATGGTTACTCAATGACTTCTAAAGGTAGATTTATGAGAGAAAAGGAGAATATCAAAGCCTTCATTTTATATAATCTTTCATGTACATTTTTTTCTTATAATGCTTGGCACACCATGAGGGGTTAAAGCAAGACTCTGCAACAGACACAGAGACAAGGTGCTGTTATTCTCTATTATCCCCAGTTCCATAGTTCCACTCACTAGAACAGTTTTTACCTCTAGACTCAGAGGTGCTGACCCTGTCATAGGCTCCATTACCCTGATTGGAACAACCAATATAAATGGTAGGTAAATCTAAAGAGTAAGTATATTCATTTAGGGATATATGTTGAAAGAATAAGAAAAAATAGAAAATGAAATTATGATCTATAACTAATTTTATTTTCTATTTTGTGGAGGAAGAGAAGCCCATAAAAGAGTCTGAGGTTTTAAATGGGAGAGGAGAGAGAGAGAGAGAGAGAGAGAGAGAGAGAGAGAGAGAGAGAGAGAGAGAGAAAATGGGAGCAAGAGAGATTTACAGAACTGATAGAAAGAGCAAGTATCAAGGAGGAAGGAACTAACAGCATGAAATGGTACAGAAAGGATACTGGAAAGCATCTGCTGAATTTGTCAGGTTAGAAATCAACAGTGATGTTACTGAGAGCAATTTCAGTGGAGTGGCTGGGAAAGAAACCAGAACACAGCAAGGTAAAGAGGAAAAGGAGGCAGAAAACTTTAGAACATGAGCATAAACAACCCTTTTTAAAAGCTCATCTGTGGAAAATCCAAGTAGGATCAGTAATTTTGCATATTTTGATAAGAACCAGAAATTCTATACGTGTAAGAACACTTTCAACAGACGTCTCCAAAGACATGATTAAAATTCTGTACAACTATTCCCAGAAATCAAGCTTGTCTTTTTTTCTTAAAACAATATGGCTTATTTTCCAATCATTTCTAGAGTGTCAATCTAAAAGTCAACCAAAACAAAAAAAAATGGAGAAATTATGTACCTGAGCTTGTCTCCTTTTTCATCATTTACTGATATATTTAAAATATCCTCACATTTTTGAAGTAGAAGACTTATGTGATGGTTTGGATGCGAGGTGTTCCTCCAAAGCTCATGTGTGAGAGAATGCAAGAAGGTTTGGAGGAGAAATGACCAAGTTATAGCCTTAATGTAATCACTGAATTAATCTCTGATGGGATTCACTGGGTGGTAACTGAAGGCAGGTGGGGTGTGGCTGGAGGAAGTGGTTCATTGGGGGCATAGCTATGGATATTTGGGTCTGGAGAGAGGAGACTCTCTCTCTGCTTCTGATCATCATGTGAGCTGCCTCCCGCTGCCACACTCTCCTGCCATGATGTCTTCCCTCACCTTGAGCCCTGAGGAATTGAGTCAGCCTTATAAGAACTAAGACCTCTAAAACCAACCATGAGCCCCCAAATAAACTTTTCCTCCTCTGTAATTGTTCTGGTGAGTCTTTTAGTAACAGTGGTGAAAATGCTAACCAAAACAACACATTATCGTTATGTTACATATGCATGTACTAACATAATCTACCATCAACAGATTCTGTCATTGCTTTTTTTTTTTGATACTGGGGGAGTGAATCCAGGGGCTTTTCACCAATCCCCAACCCCCTTTTTGAATTTTATTTGGAGACAGACTCTCACTGAGTTACTTAGGGCATCACTAAATTGTTGAGGCTAGCTTTTAACTTGCAATCCTCCTGCCTCAGCCTCCTGAGCCACTGGGATTATAGGTTTACCTTCTTAATAAA